CTAAATCACAAACACATAAACCAAATTTAATTAAAATCCACTCAGAGCGGCATCCGGATTATGTGCATGTGTCCTCTTCTCTATTATTTCCATTGATTTATTTTCCACACACACACTCAGTGGGTTTTTATTTTAACATTTTCATTAAGAAAAACTGCAACTGAAAACTCCACTTGCTGGGTGTTCCCAGTCGAATAAACATAATTCCCATGATTTATGGATTTGGCACAATGAATAAACACTGGCAAAGTGCAGACTTTGTGCAAAAGAGATTGGGAACACACGAGCATTTATTTTGTTACGGGCCAGAATGTTGATATATTAGCCAACAACAACTATGTATACATGTTTATTATTAGCCAAAGGCTGGCCTCTAGAGAAAAATCCAAAAGATCTAAGGGGGGACCATGGGACTTGGGACCATGGTACTTGGGGGATCTGTGAGCCGGGAAGTCGGGAACCCGGGAAAACTGGGGACCGACCGGCCCGCAATCATAATAAATGTTCATTGAAACCTTTTAAAAATCGCGCTGCCACAGCCGCCGCGCCTCAATGAAGCACGGCAACAATAAATTTTAGCCACGAAGTCGGGCTCTCTATGCACCAGCCACATAAACATTAATAAACTTGTTGCAATCCAAAAGATAATTAGCCATGGCTAGAGCTGCAGCGCAACACCAGCGAACAGAACCAACCCGGCCGACCGCCGCACACACACACATCACATAAAGCCAAAAGACAAGAGCCAACAACAATTTGCTATTTAGTATAAAGTTTCATTAAAAACCCACTACGGCTACGAGTGCACGGCCCATCATGCAGTTGTGTATCTTAAAGATACAATGGATACACAGGCACAGAAGAGGGTCCGCTTCACATGGCATCCCATCGCCATCGCCATAGCCATCGGTTCGCATCGCATCGCCTGCCTGCTGTCGATCATAATTTAACATAAAAATGATTTGATTACTATAATTTCTTTTGTGTTTTGGTATCACCTGGTAAGCTCATTTACTACAACGGCAACGCCGCCTATTACTCACACCGGTCCGCAGATCCCATATCCCCAAGAACCCCGGGTCCGGTTGTGGGTCCTCGGTATTGGGTTTTTCGGTCTCGGTATCGCACCATGGACCTCACCGCATGCAGCGTGTGTCGTTTTGTTTTGTTGTATGGCCAAGAAGAACCAGAAACAAAAAAAAACGAAGGCAGAGATGAACACAAGTCGGGGAGAAAAGGTAAAGAGGCCCGAAATGAAACTGCGGGAAGGCAGCACCCAGAGTGCCATCATTACACTGAGAAAAGTTACCACTAAAAACTTAAATATTCCAATATTTCTACCAAAGGTGAAAACAAAAGAATCCTGTTAGAAATGGGAGTATCTTAGGGTGTCGTAGGACAAGAAAATGTTTTTTATACCTTACCTGATGCAATCAAATTATAGGGAGTTTTTAAATAGTTTTAAGATGCAACTCACTTTTGTATTAGTTTTTATAAAACAAAAACCATGTCTCAAAATATAAATCAGGTTTTATATTATTCTATAAAAATAGGTCTTAAAAAAAGTATAATACTTTCGGAAACCCTACTATTTACATATGATAAAATGTGGGCGCCAAAAAATAACTAACTTCAGAATGGAAACATCAGAACACTACACATTGTAGCTTGACTTGTGCTCCACTTTTCGCTCAGTGCATCACGAAAACTTGCCGGCCAGCGAGGAGTCAAAGTCAAACTGACAAACCCGTTCCGGTGCCTTGCAACAGCCTTCTGCCTTTTGCCTCGGTCTCGACCAAAGTCAGAGAGTCCCAGTGCCAGTTTAAGACGAAAAAGAAGTCCAAGTCGAAGACTTGCAGGCAATAATAGCATCGACTTAAGAGCCACGAAGAAGTATACTTCATCGGGTACTGGTACAAATATCTTGTTTCATGTGTGCGCTGGACGTTAATAGCAGGCCGTACCATTGTCCAAAAGCCAGTCAAAGTCCCCGTTTGCTCCGCTCCTGTCTTTTCTATATATATATATTTTTTTTTTTACCTGTACCGCTTGCATCTTCGCTGAGCGCCGCTTCTTGGCAGCCTTCGCTGCATTTCATCATTCATGCGCTTTATTTTAGCCATTGCCGGGATTTCAGCTATATGTGGGCTCCAATATGGGGAGTGTAGATACTCTTTTTAAAAAAAATTCTTAAGTACTTTTTTTTGATAAAGAATAATCCATATAAACCATTAATTTATCTGATACCCAAAGTGTTAAGTGGCAAAAATATTTTAGGGTTTGAAAAATTCATTATATATTATTTTATTACATAGTCGTATATAGGATCTGTGATTTATGATCTGGTTTTAGATACCTAATTTTTGCATTAACCACACCTATTTGATAAAAATTACCACTGTTCAATGTCCAATGTTCTTGATAAAGAATAATCCATATAAGCCATATTAACGTAACGTTAATTTAATACCCAAAGTATCATATAGAAAAAATATTTTAGGGTTAAAAAAACTAAGTAGGATCCATTATATGTTATTTTATAAAATAAATGTAATATATAGGATTTGTGATTTATGATAATTTGACAATATTTGACAATAATGTCCATTATTTTGATAGGACTTTGTAGAGTGCATATGGTTTTTTATTTTTTCTGGTGCACTCCAGCGTTTTGTGTGCTCCCTACTCCCGTACTCCCGTACATCGTGTCCTGTCCCGCTTGCGTATCGCAATGGTCGAGGCTTAGAAGCGGAGATTGAGTTACATTGCTGGGGATTATTATCAACTGTATTATCTGCCTTTTCTTCTCCTGTTTTTTTTCTTTCTTTTTTTTTTGACCACGGCGGCAACTGCTCTTTGGCCAGAAAAAAGCCAAATAAAAATTCGTTACGCCGCTGCTGCTGCAGCGTTTACTCAACTGAGGAGTGAGATTCGTGGGTTTTGGTTTCGGGTTTTTCCGTTTTTAGGGTTTGTGCTTTTTTAATGATACCCTCTCAAGTATTTTCTCTTCCTCTTTTGCAGCAGTCTTTTTTTTTTTGTGTGTGTGCCTGATTCGGTTCAAGTGCCTTTTGGTGCTGTCGTAATTTGTTGCTTTGTATTTTCTTCTTTTTTTTTTTGTTTGGGAGGCGACGGACATGCATGTTTCATAAGTTTTGGGGGCAACAATTGTGTAAAATTATGAGCTGTCGTCCATATTTGCCATTTGGCATGGTTCCAGGGCATCAGCAGAAGCAGCTAAAGCTTGGCCAGCAAATCCGAGCCGGTCTTTTGTTTCATTTTGTAGCCATAAAACAAACTGGAGTAGGTGTTGTCGTTAAGTTTTGATGTGCCACATTAAACTAGACTCCCCGAGCAGATTGCGTTTGAGCTGAGCCACCCCATTGTGCAGTTTATGATTGCAGATGAATGAAGCTACTAAAAAAGCGAGGAAGCCCACTGTGCCCTAATGGGAAATCAGATTTAGCCTATTGGCATAAAACTCTATACATATATTCCATCGTCTGCTTTTCTTGGTCTTGTTTTTATTGATTTTTGTTTTCGCATAAAATTGAGAGACGACACTTTCACACAGAGGAAACGTAAAATACCTCTGGATATTGGCTTGGCCATAGATCTCTTCGGAATTGGAATTGAATAAAAGTGAATGTCGCTGGGGAGTCGAACTTTGAAGAAATTAAATCACTTCGTGATGGTATTTTTTATGTGGGGGAAGTTTATGAACCTAACTGTCAAGCTAATATACTATTGAATTTATGGGAATTTATTTCAATAAAATAAATGCTTAGGCTGGGCTATAAAACTAAGTTAATTGAATGGGTTTTTTTTTATATAAAAGAAAAATAGATATACACTTTTGAAAAGTTTTTTAATTTATATTTTATGGTTGTGCGTTTTACTTAACTTTTAATTTTATAGAAAAGCTTATGCTTTTAAAGCGGAATGGTAAACAAAGTTTAGAAGTCTTAAAAGTTGTTTAAGTTATTTTCTTTTTGTCTTCGAAAACTTCTTTATTACTTTTTTTTATACAATAGCCCACTATTTCGACACACAGTCCACCCCTAACTAGGTCACATTACAGTTGGCAAATGTCTGCGGTAAAGTTTTAAATCATATTTAAAGAATACGGCAATAGATTCGGGCCCAACTGTTCCGATGGCAACCGCGAAGACAAATAACACACTGTGGGCACTGTGGAAATAACCGCAGGGAAAGCTCTCGGGCACAAGTATTGCACCACACTCAAATAGTGGTGGTGGTGGTGGTATCATGGTATAGTGGTATCGTAGTGGTGCTGCTGCGGCCCGAGATGGAAGCCAAAGCGGCAAATGTTCCAGGAAACTATAAAAGACAATAGCGGCAATATGCCAGCTCTGGTTTTTGTGGTTTTTTATGCTCGGACTCTCTAGGAAGAAGAAGCCTTTCTGCCTCTTGGCGTGGGCCTAAGTCAACAACAAAGAAGCGAAGCCTCAATGCCCTGGACGGCGCCCCTTTTGTTATATAAATATAAACGTATCTATATACTCGTATGTATAGGAAAACCCTCCAAAGAAGTGGGGATTGTGGGGCGGAGGAATTTTGCTTGGTAGCCAAGTTGTGTGTGCTCACGCATTAATATAGTTCGAAGACAAAGTGCCCAAAGGAAAGGGGTACACAGGAAGAATTATTAAAGTGTCTTATCTATAGTATAATAAACGAATTTTTTGAGAAGGATTAGATGACCATTGTTTTGGAAATACTAATATTTTATAGCTAGCCTTTATAATAAAGAACAATAGTATTCCTTATCAAATCTTTAATTTTGGGGTATAGTAAAAGTTTATCCTCCCATCAGCTACCAATTTTAAAGCGAAGCATTTAAAAAGGGTTAGGTATAAACATATTTTCTATATATTGTTTTACCTTTAGACAACTTTTATATAATGTAAAACACCTTTTTTACATAAGTTGAAATTACTTTAATCTTCAGTTTTGCATAGTATGTTTTTCTTGCATATTTCATATTTTTTCTCTCTGCACATAGAGATATAGACGTGTGTGAAACTAGTTTATGACAGGCCCGAGTTGGTATGGGGTGGCAAATAATGTTGTTTATGTGTTGGGGCGAACCGTAAATATGACGCACCATGGAGATGGGGTAAACCATAACCTGGGCCAGCTGAAACCTGGCTGAAAGTGGAGTGGTCAAGTGTAAAGTACGCAACTGCTCCTATTCCTATTCCCATACCCATAGCCATTCGCGTTGCCAGTGCCATTTCCATTGTGGTGTCGTCCACAGAATCGCAAGACGACTGCTGGTCAAGTGTTGCAGTTGCTTCCTGCCTTTCGGCCTGACACTCACCTGGCCCTCTAGCATTGGACTGCTTTTGCTTTTGCTTTTGCTATTGCCTCTGCATCTGCTTCTGGCATTCAATGGCCAATTCTCCACGCAGACGAGCCATCCTTGTTCTTGTACTTGTACGAGTATTTATATTTTCTTGGCATTGGCCTCTTCCCATGACACCGGTTAGCCGCATCTTCAGCTGCTCTGCGCTTATTTGGTTACTTTATGCCATTTACCTGTATTCCTCCACCTTCGACTTGGCTCCTTCTACCTAACTTCCTCTCTGGCGCGCTCTGATAATAAAGATGACAAAATATCTAGAGAAAATCATAAACCTTGTGTGTATGTTTGGAAAAATAATATCTTGCAGATATAAAGTACCATTTATGTCGTGCTTATATCTTATTTCGCCAAAGTCGTGCCATCGCAAGAGTCGCGAATCCCGAATCGCTTTTCGCAGTCCAAGTCAAGAGTTGGGAGTCCCAGTCGATGGAGAAGGAGCAGTCCATGCGGCATTTGAGTTTGGTATGGTTTGGTTGGGTCCGCTTGGAGAACTGCTGCTGCGTTGGGAGATTGCTTTGCAGGCACGGTTGCGTGGGTCACAGTGGTCAGAAATGGATGTATTATACCATTTAAATGATGTTCTATGGGATAAAAATGGAAATGTTAGAACCATAACTCGGTATAGATGTTTTCCCTTATAAGGAATTGAAATAAGGAATATTGATAGAGATCATATGAGAACACCACCATAATTTTTTTAATATTTGGTATAGATGTTTTCTGTTATAAGGAATTGGAATAAGGAATATTGATAGATGTATTATGAGAACACCACGATAATTCTTATAATATTTGGTAATCATTTTTATAAGAAAGTTAAGAAAGAAAGATGGTACCATACTCTTTAATGGTAATAAAAAAAAGAATTCTTCATTCTTCCTTTTTTATACCCGACATATGGTCATATACAGGACCACATTTTAAACCAGACTTTTCTGTGGTTTTGCACCACTGTGCGTAGACTTGGCTGGAGTTCTACAGCACTTCTTCACATGACGGCGACAGGCAATTGGCCAATGCAGCGCCAGCGACGCCAAAGCCATGGCCACGTTGTCATCTTGGTCAAGGAGACCAGCCAGCAGAGGGGGGAGGATGAAAGTTGGGTCTATTGGCAATCTTTCTGCTCGTCCAAGTATCTTCTCTTTTCTCCTTTTCAGTTCGGTTATATTCCGTTCAGTTCTGGCCTGTCCTGGCCGACTTGTATATATGCTTTCATTACGAGCTTAGTTCACGTCACAATCAGTTGTTGGCATCGTTTATGCCGCATTGCTACACAAACACAGACCAACCTACAAATGATGTTAAAATTATAGGAAATTTAACTTAAAAAAAAAAAATTTTTAGATGACTTTAAATTTTGATATGTGGTGAATACAAGTATTATGGCTGCGATGAGTTCATTTTATTGTATACTATATCAATCAAATATTTATTTAGATCTCAAAAACTATTTATCAAATTTTTGTTATATAGTGTCTCCTATTTTGTTGTCCTCTGCTGTACACATGGTAACTAGTTGGCTGCTGTGGCAGCTTCTTCAGCAAAATGTCTTCCAACTTATCGCACTCGCACACATATGCCATATATATATATATCCTGTGGAGGCTCGCTGGCAATTTGCATGCAACCCAGAGGAACCCCTCTGCCACCCACTTTCCCACTGTACGTGCATGTAATTTATGCGTTTAGATAACACTTTGCTAATTTTGAATGGCATAAATTTTTTTCCAACATTAGAAGGAGAAGACGGAGTGGCCCAGGGATCCTTGGGATCGTGCCTGTAATTGTGTGTGCGTGTCTGTTACTTGTTTTTTTTCCTTACTCCTTTATTTTTTCCTTGATTTTTCCTTTTTTTTTTGCATGCCGCACTTATGATGATGTATTGATTGTTCGAGGTGTCAGATTTTTGTTGTTGCAACCAACACTTTTGCCTGGTCTTTTTCTTCGCTTGGCGTAATTAAAGGAAATATTTGAGATATGCCAAGATAATAGTGCTGGAATGTTGTTGGATTAATTAATTGAAAATGAGTTGTGGAGGAAAAGGGGTATATGGGGATGAGGAGACAGAAAGGTAGATATCTGGTCTGCCTGGCTTTATTTGGCGACTGTTGCTTTTGCGTCTGTTGGCCATGTCGCCCGTTTGCTTATCAGTGGCAGCATTGACTTTTTATGGCCATGAGCAAGAGGTCTCCTCGCGGACCCGCGACTCTCTGTGATTAATAAGGATTTTCAAGTCGTTAGCCGTCTTCGCCGTCCGTTCATCGCGTTTTTTTATGGCCAACAACGAGGGAGACGAGAAAGACGTGAATCGAATCGAATTGCGAGGGACGAGGCAGGCAAATTACCGATTTCAACAATGTCGCTCAAGTGGCTTAACTTAAGTTTTGGCTTTGACAAAGGCCCCCTGACAAAAAACGAGGGAAAAATGGAAGAAGAAAAGAGAAAAACCAGCAGTTGATGCTTGAATAATGATGTGATAACCGTAGGCATAAACTGGCCCACGGACCCGAGATGATCCATTCCAGTGTCCACAACTTTGGCCAGATACAATTACGGACTAAAACATTCCTAGCCAACTTGTAGTGACAGTTTAGCCATTTTCTAGCGAAGTTTTAAGAGGCCTTATTTAGAGATACACAATGTTACTAATATTTTATAAATATGTATTACATTTATAGCGTGACATTCAGATAGCTTATAACATCTTTCAAGACTAAAAATGATTTTTACATTTTCTGATATTAAAATAAAATATTTTTTCATCTTTTCCTTAAGCTTTACTTTGATTAAAACCTTAAAGAATATGTCAAAGACATTCTTGGAAGACAATCTATGTGTTTTAGCTATTTATTAAAGCTTGAAAGATAGTATTTGCTGCCTAGCAACACTGATTACCACCCACTTACCCCCGCCTTGAGGCAATCGCGTCACAGCTGCATTCACTGGTAAAAAGTTGCTGCTTAAAGTTTTCAAATTATTCTAAGTAGGGCAGAGCTGAGGATTATGCCTGGGAAATGCTTCTTTCTTGGCTGTGGCGCCTTGGATTAGGCTCGAATTAAATTGGAATTAAATTTGCCGCTTAAAGCGCGACAGAGTGAACTGAAACGAATTAAGCATTTGCCATTACATTCGCCTTTACAAATTGAATGGGTGAATCAAAACACAAATTGCTCGGCAGAGGGTGAAATTGTCGACATTTATTCGGAATGAATACATTAATGTATTCATAAATAATGCGCATGAAATTCGAAATCATAAATAAAGTTAAGCACTTGCTGTACAGATATTAAAAACATAACATTTGCATAATCTATTTTGTTTTTTTATATCTCCTTTCTCTAATTCAAATCTCACTTTAATTTATGCAAAATATTTCTAGCGAAAAAAAAAACACAGCCGTGTTAAATATGTCCAATAAATTTGCAATGCAAACATTTGGTAATTTTGTATGAAAACACAATTCCATTAATTATTTAGCCTAATTTAATTTTGTTCTAAACGGCTTTATTGAACTTTGCTTATATAATGTCGATCGTGTGTAGAAAATGTAAACACTTGTATTGTGTAAATAATAAACAATCAAAGAAATGGCCGAAAAATGTGTGTTTAAATGTAATTAAACTTTTTGAAGGGTAAAAAATCAATTATTAATTAATTTATTTTTCATATAATTCAAGTGTTTACTTTTACCATGTATACACACTTTATAAACGCAATTTCATGCGACAATTTCGAGCTTTATGCTAATAGAAATGGGAAAGAACTTTCCCCACTAGTTTTGACAGACTAATGGAATGTCTGGGCTTTCGGCTGTCACTTTTGACAGCGAGGTTACCAAAGTTTTCTAGACTGTGCTAATTAAAAAACCCAAAAGTAACAAAAATCGGAAACCAGTAGAGGAATGAAAGTTGAACAAACAGAAAAAATGGATGTGGGCATAATCAAAACTGCACGGAAAAGTTGTTCTGGTTTATATTTTTTATTTTTCGTGCCCCACTGAGTTCCCACCGAAATGCATCCACTAATCATATGCAAGTGTGGTGGAATTAGAGGCACTAAAACTCAATCAAATTTCATAGCATTACAACGAAATGCGAACCTTAGATGTGAACCGCCGATGGGCCCAAAAGGGGCAGAGATATATAAACAGTTACGTTAGTCTTAATTACATATCAAATATATCGCCTCGCTGATTGATCTCAAGCCAAGCAGAAGCCAGTGGAGTCTCAAGTGTTCCCCTCTGCGTTGGGCGGCCATAAAATCAACATAAATCTGAGTTATAAAAAGTCATGTTCGGCTGCACTTAATTAGCGGCCGACCGACCTCTACGGAATGGGTGTCATGCCCATATGTCCTCTCTATAACGATACCATCCTCATCTCGGTTCCCATAAATACCAGAGGACCGAAAAGGAGGAGGAGGAGTCCTCCTTCTCGACAACCGACTATAATTCACACAATTTGCTGATGCGTGTGCCACGAGTGTTGAGCCCAAAATGTCAACAATATAGCCATTCCATTCCCATATACTTTTCTAAATTCGGAGCGTATTCCCACTGTCTGCCCTGCCCTGTGCTCCAAAATTAAATGGTGTGAACGAAATTTTATGCCGAATCATGCGTGGAAAATGATGAAGATGCCGCCGCGACCAGGGAAACCTCATCGAGTTTCTACGTTCCATGCTCGGTTGAAATATATTTGCGTGCCTCATTTCATTTGTTTATGTTTTTCTAAAGAGATTTACAGTCGGAAAAAAATATAACAATAAATTTTACGAAATTGGTGCCTTAATTGTTGGACAATTAGTTAGTTTTGAAGATTTAAAGACTAGTTAAGGAAATTAAAGACTCTTTTATATTTTTTTAAGAAAGATTTTCTGATTATGAAATATATTCAACATGGCTGGGATTACTGAATAAATTAGAAGTGTTTTTTTTGTAATGTCCATGTTGTGAATTTGTAAAGCAATTTATTTTCCGAGTGTACGGGTACACTTGCATGTGTGAGGCCTCGTTAGAGAAGCCAGTTGTCTTGATGAAGATGCACACACTTGGCCATGATAACTGGGTCCCGAAATTAAGTTGAAAACAATTTAAATTTGTTAGAAGCCGCCGGCAACGAGGCGAGGTCCCAAGGAGTGTAGTACCCATGCCAAAAATGGGTAAAAACACTTTCAACTCCCCAGCACCGGGCATCAAATGGAGGATCCGGGCCCAGAGAGATGTTGACGTCAAACGACAGCCACGAGACACTTCACTTCTACTCGTATACATACTCCAATGTTTCTTTTCTTTTTTTTGGGTCGCACTTTTATGTGTAATTTCATGTTGTGCGAAGCGTTTTGATGGAGTTGCAATGTCCTCTCCCCGGGGAATGGGAATTTCTTTTTTTCGGGAATTCAGTTTCTGGCGGAGTTTCTTTACGGAATTTTTATGGCCTAATAGAGTTGGTCTTGAGTGTACATTTAGTGCTGAAAAGGTGTTGATTGTGAAGGAGTAGCGCTGGCCAGGGAAATAAAACAAGAGTTCAGTTTACGATTCCGTTTATGTTTTACAAATAACTCGGGTATTTACAGCTTGCCA